CAAGTTTTTGGACTTAGCAGGTCACCAGACCATCTCAGATGCAGAAGCCCCGTTGTGTGGGGTTCCACCTGGACTGCTGTGGATGGTGCATCCACTTGTCCTGATGGGTTGCACTTTCACCCTTTGTTTCCTTGATATAATCAGGGCTTAATTTTCTGCACAAAAAATGACGCATGGCCTTGCTCATCTATATGTGGAGAGTTCTCAGTTCTTAGTTGACTTTCAGTTTCTACCTTATCTTAAGGCCCTCTTGTCTTAGTGCCCAAAACAGCTTATGCTTAAGGGAATGATACCAATTTTTCAATTTAGCCTAAAAAATCAATAACTACAGTATGTGTGTGTGCATGTGTATGTGCGTGTGCATACATATGTATGCATATGCTATAGTATCACAAGACTTCTGGGATTGCCTCTTTTGTTAAATGTACTTCCAATTTTATTCACTTTAATATGCAATTAAAATGACATTTATTCATGCCTCCTATCTGAGCACTGTGCCGCACACCAGGGATACAGAAGCAAATGGGGCAAAGGTGATTCTTGTCCTTGGGCAGTACTGTCTAACAAGGAACACAGAGTTAATGGAGAAATGACGAGTGTCCTCAGAACCGAGGTGAGTGTAGGCGTGTCAGGGGTGTCCAGGGATCATTCTCTGCTTTTTTGTGAACCTGACACCATTAGCCTTCCTCTCCCTTGTATGTTCACCTTTCTTTCAAACCAAGTTTTTCATCGCTGATAAATATGCTCAAATGCTTTTCTTACAAACACAATAAAAAAGTTTCCATCAGCTTCCAAATACAACTCTGTATATCTCCTTCTCTTCAAGGACAGACTTGTCCAGTGAGTCTACACTCACTGACTCTAGATCTGTACTTTGCACTCAGCCCCCACCACCTACAACAGTCTGGCTTCATTTCTTGATACTCCACCAAAATGTCCTCGCTCTGTGACATCAATTTCTCCTGTTTTCCTACCTCTTTGGCTGCTTTTCTTGGTTCCCTTTGTAAGTTCACCTTTCACTGCCCAGCCAGTGAATGTGCAATTTCCTTAAGAATTGGTTTGGAAACCGTCTTCTCCTATTATGCATTTTCAGTTGATGAGTTCTTTCATGTCCATGGCTGCATGTTTACTACCTATACACAGTCATTTCACAGATCTAGGTCCTAATCCAGATGTCTCCTCTGTTCCAGAATAGTTTATCAAGTAGTCCTCAGACCATCTCATTTTACACATCTTACATGTACCTAAAACTCAATATAGCCACAGCTAAAGTCATGCTTTTTTCCAACGAACCTGGTCCTCCTCTGACATTCCATTCTGCAAATGGTACTATCATCCTTTTGATTTTGTAACTCAAACCTGGGGGTCATTGCTACATCCCTCTCTTTCACCACATATGCCAATCTGTCATCTTGTCTTGTCAGTTATCTCACACATCTTTCTAATATGTCAATTTTTTTTTCCATCTCCATGGACGACCAACATCTTAATTTGTGTTGCGACCATCTCTGTCTGGAGTAGTGTAATAGTTTCTAATTTGTCTCCACATCTACTTTTGTGTCCTTCTAATTCATCCTCACAACTGCCAGAGTGAGCTTTTCAAACCGGAAATATGAACACATTATATCCCTGATTCCAACAAGTCAGTGACATTCCATTGCTTTTTCCCCCCAATTTTTAATGACGTCTGGGGTGCCTGTTATAGAGTTGGCTTCTACCTGTCTCATACCCCCATCGCATACCTTGCTTCTCTTACACTGGCTTGCATTTGGTTCCTTGATTTTACCGTGTTCCTTCCTGCCATGTGGATTTACACATTCCTCTCTTTTTGCCTGTGCTGTTAGTTACCCAACTTTAGACTCATTAAGTTATATTTTTCATTTATATCTTAGCTCAGCTATTATAATGAACCAGTCATCACATAGGAAACTTTTCGTGGATCTACTACAGTAGGTCAGATTTGATATACTCTTATAGAACAATGACTCCTATTTTCCTAAGCTCTTCTTTTATTAATACACAGTTTGAATGATATTTGATTTGTATAATGTTTCTTCCCCTCTAGCATATTAAGTTCTGTGAGATGAGGGACTGTGTCTATTTCTACACATCACTGTATCCTCAGCGCTTACCACGATGCCTGTCACATAGTAGGATAATGAATAAATGAACAATGTCGCATTTAAGCTGCAATGGGAAAGATGAGTAAGAGTTAGTTGAACAAAAATGGGAGGCGAGAAATTCCTAGCCAAATGGAATAGTATGTCCAGAGACATAAAAACAAGGGAGAACTCCCAAATGTTCAAGAAAAAAACCACTTTTGTTGAAATCAAGGGCGAGGGCATGAGGGGCAAGCAGGTGCTCAACTGTGGGTGGCTTTTTAAGCCATGGTAAGAATTGTAGACTCTGTCCTAATTTGGACAATAGGAAGTTTTTGAAGGGTAGTAAATAAATGGGAAACAAATCAGATTGACCCAGAAACCAATTATATCAGACATGGTGGTGGCGAGGACTGGAGTGGTAGCACTGGGAATGAAAATTAGTTGGTAGATTTAAGAGATATTTAGGCTAGTGTCCATCAAAAACTCTAGGTGATAAATGATGACGTGCTATATACGGTCAGGAGAGCTGGTATCTTTAGGATGTTTGCAGGCTTGTTGGCTGGTGGCTTAAATTCAGCCATGGTGAGAGTATTTACACTGAAAACTGACAAATGCTACACATCAGGCTCCCCTTCCCTCACCTCCAGAAGGGCTGGTAGTTTAAAATTCGCCAACAATCCACTAGTTACTACCATTTTAAAAAGGAACAATAGAAGAAAAATAATAGAAAATATCAGAAGGCCTTGCATATAATGATGATAAAAATTGTTTTGTGAAACTTCTGTTCCATGTGTGCACTGGCACAGTCACGATGCAAAAGATATTTCTTTTATTTATAGTAAAGTTAGTTTGAAAGGCACTGATTCAGGAAATAGAATGAAGAGAAACTGTTGATTAATTGGATTTAGGCAATGAGGGCACTGAGATGAATTAAGGATTAATCATAGATTCCTGGCTTGATTAACTGGGTGGAAGGTGCCGCCATTTCCTGAGACAGGGAGTGCCGTAAGGGAGCTGGTGTGAGGGGCTGGCGAGCTCAGTTTGGACATGCTGAGTCTGAGGTGTCTGTAAGATATCCAAGAGGAGGTATCCTGAAGGCACTTCCATGGGTTTGGACTGTAGGGAAAGGACTGATGTGGCAATACAGATATTGGGGTCATTGGCGAAAAGATGGTGGTTGAGGCCACGGGAACAGATTAAGGTTACCTAGGTAGCGCACACAGTCTGAAGAAAGTAGGTCTGTAAGAGAACCCTGAAAAGAATCAAGATTTAAGGGGTAGTTTGAGGAGGATGAGGTTAAAAATGAGACTGAAAACAGAGGGGCTACAGACGTGGAAGAAAGACTGAAGTGTGGTGTCTTGAAGCCAACAGACAAGTGGTTCCAAGGTAGGGCAGATACCTGCGAGCACAGTATCTTTGAGAACTGAGGATAATGAGAAAACTGGACTCCGCACCTACAAAGTAGAAGCAAGAAATTTTTCAGATTTCAAGTGCGTATCATTCAAATCTACTTTGGATGTTGACTGGGTATAAATGATAAATGGTAAATAAAGAAAAACTGATCTTGTCAAGCCATTTACGCCCCCTGGCCAAATTTCATCTCATCACATAAACCATGAGTTGTGGTAGTCACTGGAGTCCCTGAGGAGCTATGGACAGGGAGAAATCTCCCTCCCCTCTTCTGGCCTTGTCACCTTTGTTTATTCTGGATAAACACATGTACCTATTTCACTGCTGATAACCTTTCAGTCCTTAAGGTTAGTTTATTTTAAAGAAGATTTAAACATTGATTTTATTATTCATGTTTCGATAAGGAGCAAGGCTATTTCATAGCCTGGCTTTTAGCGCAGAAGACACACAGGACACAGACTCATATGAGGTAACAGCTAATAGTGAACGACACTGAATTCTCAGCGACAGGCATTGTGCTAAAGGTTCTACAGGAGCAGCTCTTTGGAGAAGGTATTCTATTGGTACCATTTTACAATTGAAGACACCGAGGCCCTGAGAGGGTCACGAGGTGGGGAAGCAGAGATACCCACCACAGCAGAGCAGCTCTCGCCCGTACACCAGGCTCATCCAGTGCTCTGGAGACTCGGATACGATGCGCAGGAACAGCTTTTAACGTGCTCAGAACCAAACCCAAAAAATGATGCAAATTTGAAATCTCTGTAAACTTTTTCTTTTTTTTTTCCTCACTGACCATAAAAGCAACTCATGCTCAGTGCAGAAAACGTGTGAGATTTAGAAACTTTGCCAGGTATAAGATAAATCAGTTTTGGTGAAGTTTTAACACAAGACAGAGTCTCTCATAAAAACTCAGCAATCAGATTTTACAACTTCTCCCCAGGGGAGAAAAACCACAGCAGGGATCAAGTGAGAAACACTTCCTTCAGAGGAGGCTCTGACTTAGTTAGCTTACTGGAATTTACTCCTCTGCTTGGCAGGCAATTAGCACGTGCCCCAAGGTGGGGTGAGACGAGGGATGTGCGTCAGCTTCTCGCCCAGTGGGAGTTTGAGTGTCTCACGTGGTGCCTCCAACGTGGTGCTTCTCAAGGACTTTTCCAGGGCAGCTTTGACTTATGGCTCAGATGCTGACTTTAGTCCTAGCCCTCTCTTTAGATCTGTCTCATTTTAGGACCATTCTAAAGGCCCCTTGGACATCTCCTAAGGACTGATTGCATGGAGACTGGTTCTTGCTACATTTCTGACAATCTAGAATTCTGCAGTGTACTGGAGTTCGTGTGCTCATTCATTAATTCAACAAACATTTCTCGAGTCCACTGTGCACCAGATGAGGGTGCAGAGGTATGCCCTTGAGATCACTGTGGAGGGGGTGCTAAGTTTCGAGTGGAAAAAGCTGTATGTCCCAGGGAATATGACAAAGGACATCTGTCTAGACAAGGACAAGGCTCTGAAAACAGAGCTCAAAAAGTTCTGCTTGGTGATGTGTATGGTAGTGATAGAGAATTAAGGCATCAATTCACAGGCAAGTACCGAATGGAAGGATGCCATCTGAAGCAGTGCTGAAATATCCTCTAGCTCAGTTACAGAGATAATTTTAGAAGTCACAGATGTAATTATATAATTCTTCATTTACTGTGAGCTTAACAGAGCATTCTTCAAGACAGTCTTTTAAGGCAAAATTGGTTTCTGATTCTTCAAAGTCTTTTCAGTTTTCTTGTTAGAGCTAGCCCCAGTTTATAGAACCTGGGAGGTACTATACATGGGACCTGCTTTATTGGTTTGCAGCCTGTGCAGTCACGTCAGGCCCTGTGCTCAGAAAGGTCCCACGTTTGGCTTGATGCTCTGCTGTTACCATCTTGAAATACACAATAATTTTTGAATAAGGGGCTCCGTAATTTTATTTTTGCTCTGTGCCCCACAAATGATGTAGCAGGTCCTGTCTATGTCATTATGTCATCTGTACTTGAGCTCAACTTCTAGCACATCCACATGGTAGTGAGGTCACCTTGGATATTAATTAACTTCTCCCGCCTCAGTTTCCTCTTTGCTAAAGGGGGTACAAACAATACTGCTTCCCTTAGAGATGTAGTCATCTGATAATGTGAAGTTCTTAGCACAGTCAACTTAGGTTAGGGAGAAAAACAAACAGCAAACAAAAACAATAAAAGCTTCCCGCTGCTTCTCTCTGTGCCGAAACAGATCATATATTTCTGTACTTCTCACACACAAAGATGTTTTCAAGGTTACAAGTCCCTCCGCCCATCCCCGGGGAAAGAGGCAAATGGTGTGTGCCTCCCAAAATGAATTCCTATAATGAGGTAATGGGAGGATGTGTTTTCTTCCTGATTCTAAATCACAAATACCACACACAGCAAGTTAGCTACAAGGCAGGCCAATAATCTACTCGGAATATTTTCCCCCAGCGCATGTCCTGACACAGGTCTAAACTGGTTGCAAATGATTGGTTTCCTTGGGGTCCCTTTTACAGCCTACCTGGTCTTCTGGTGATGTTGCCCTGGAGAGAATTCAATTCAAATTTCCCTGAATAAAACTCATGACCGTTTTTGCTTAACATTAATCATTTGGACCTTCTCGAAGTATGTGGGTGCCAAACATCAAGCTGACACACTGAACACTGTGGGGAACATGTGTTCTTTCTGGAGGGAGGTGGGGAGTGCGGTCAGCAAGGGACTGTTACGGCCCAAGCAATCATCAGAGTTTGGCTAGAGGAGTGAGAAACCCAAGCGTTTAGACTACTAGCTCTGGAAGGGGAGGGGGAGGAACATCCCGAGTCCCACAACAGAAAATCACAGTTTTCCATATTTGCAGAAATGATCTCTAGTGTTTATCTAGCACATTTCATGTGTCTCCCCCTAAGAGATTTTTATTTTTTCGGATTACAAACAATGTTCGGGTTATCCCTGCTTTGATTATTACATCTTCCTTGATCCTGTGACCTCCTTGGACTACCAATCTCTCCTCTCTCTAACCTCCAACCTTCTTTAATAAATAGCAATGTTCTCAGACGTTTCTGAGCTTCTGTTTTGTGCCAGTGCCCAGTGCCAAATTATAGTGAGGCCATCTCTGTATTATTGGTCACATTGGTCCTCTGTGTTCTGCTTCTAGAACTGCTAAATGTTTCTTTTATGTATTTTTTCATTCAACAAATATGTAGCAGTCCCTAGAATGTGTCAGCCACGTGCATATAGCAGTATGTGAAGCAGGTGTGGCCCCTGCCTTCATGACAAGGCTCCCAGTCTAACACTAATTCAGATATTAGATGACAGCGTGGCATTACACCCATACTAGTGCAAGGGCAGAGTAACAGAGTCAATTACTACCTTTTTTTCAAGTTGAGTTACGGTGTTCATGTCTCAGTTTCATTTTAATTTTTATTGGAATTAAATCATCAAAAGTTCTATAAAGCTCATGTTAAAAGAGCAGAAACTCTCTGTCCTGTCCAACTGCAGCCCTTACAGTCTCCTTCGCATGCCCTGTCCTGCTCCCCAAGGAAACCATACTCAACAATTTCAGCTGTTTCATTTATCTTTTATAACCACGTTTCTTAAAAATAGTCATATATTGCTGTTTCTTGATTTATCCACTTTAGATATTATCTTCTGACTTTCTAAGATGAAAGATAGGAGTTCAGTCCTCTTAGCAACACCTTCCCTCTTTTTTCCCCTATCTTTTATCCACCAAATATATTTACATCATATTTTGGGGGGCTAAATCAGTTTTCAGTGTTGTTTTTTTCTCTTATGCTTTGGTGTTATACCTCAAAGATTTGCCAAACCCAAATTCCTTATGTTTTCTTCTGGGAGTTTATAGAATTGAGTTTTACATTTGGGTTTATGATGCATTTTGAGTTAATTTTTGTGAAAGGATTGTGTCTCGATTCAGTTATGTTTGAGAAGATTTGCATCTATGTTCAAGTAAGATACGTATCTGTAGGTTTCCTCCTTGTAATGTCTTTACTATTCACATCACTGGTCTCAGAATGAGTTAGAGGGTATTTTCTCTCTTCTATTTTCTGAAAGAGATTGTGAAGAGTTGGTATCCTTTCCTCCTTAAATGTTGGGTAGAATTCACCAGTAAAACCATCTGAGCCTAGTGTTTTATGTTTTGGAATATTATTAATAATTGATTCACCTTCTCTAATAAATACAGGCCTATTCAAATTGTCTAATTTTCCTGTGTCAGTTTTGGTAGATTGGTCCATTTCATCTAGTTATCAAGTTTGTGGGCACAGAGTTGTTCATAATATTCCTAAATTATTTTTTTAATGTCCATGGAATCAGTAGGAGACTCCCCTTCAATTTCTAATATTAGTAACTGTATGTCTTCTCTGTTCTTTTCTTGGTTAGCCTGGCTAGAGCTTAATCCATTTTACTGATCTTTTCAAATAATTAGTTTTTGGTTTATCAATTTCCTGTTTTCAATTTTATTAATTTCTGCTCTAATTTATATTATTTTCTTTCTTCTTCTTGGTTTTGGTACAAATTTCTCTTCTTTCTCTAGTCTTCTAAAGGGGAAACTTAGAGTATTGGTTTTAGATCTGTTTTTTTTTCCTAATATATGCATTTAATGTTCTAAATTAATCTCTGAGCATTGCAGTCTCTGAATCTTACAAATTTTGATAAATTGTATTTTCATTTTCTTTCAGTTCAAAATATTTTAAATTTCTCTTGACACTTCTTCTTTGACCTGTGTTATCTGTTAGTGTGTTACTTAATCTCCAGATAGCTTGTGCTCTTCTAGATATCTTTCTGTTATTAATTTCTAGTTTACGTCCATTGTGGACTGTGAATATATTTTGTATGATTTCTATTCTTTTAAATTTAAGGTGTGTTTTTTGGCTCAGAAGATGATCTATCTTGGTGAATGTTCCATGTGAGCTTGAATAGAATGTGTCCTCTGCTCTTGTTGAATACAGTATTCTATATATGTCAACTAGATCAAGTTGATTGATGGTGCTGTTCAGGCT